TTTCTTTCTTTCTTTCTTTCTTTCTTTCTTTCTTTCTTTCTTTCTTTTTTTCTTTCTTCTTTCTTCCTTTCTTCTTTTAAATCCTCTGGTTATTCTAATCTATAGCCAGGGTTAAAAACCTCTATTCTGGACCCAGGTCAATTAACACCTCTGATGAAATCTCCTCCAGCATCTTCAGGCATCAGTTCTCTGTCTAAGCTCCCTGAGTGCTTTCCCCCTTGTTCTTTCAGCACTAATCACACTTACTCACCCGACACAAGAGGAACATCACCTCTAGTTTGGAAATGTGTCTTATATCTTAAATCTCACTCTTCTCCCAGCACCTAGACAGTATCTCGCACATTATGGTACAACAAGATAAAAGGATGAATAAATGGGTGGGTGGATTGACCCGAAGTTGAAGTTCTATTAATCGTTAAGATTTGATAATCTTTTGGTTTTTTCCTAGTATTGCCAGCCAAAAAAAAAAAAAAAAAAAAAGAGCTGCTGTTTGTTTCCCTAGGATCATATGGAAAGAAAAACATCAGGACCTTCCAGAGATAGTTCTTGCTGCCAAATGAAAAGCAACGTGCTTCATGAAAATCCTGCCAGCCTCTGAAGTCTCCTCTCTCTTAGATCCACAATGCTTCTTTTCCTCCTTAAACTCCTATGATATTTCCATTTTTTATTCCCTAATGAGGAGAGTCAGCAGTGAAATATGCCAGGACTGCTTTCTCCTACAGCCAATGCCAATCCCTTGCTAGCAAAACAAAATTGAATTAAAAAGAGAGTGTTGGTTAAAAAGAAAGTAATTGTGAAAGTTCTTTGTATGATGAATACGTTCTGCCAGTTCCATTACCACAAGTCTGTATCATGCAGTTTTGCTCTTGTTTACGTCCTTGCATCTTGTTCTGTCATTCCTGGATACATGCATGCATTCATTCTGCAAATACTTGCCAAACACCTACCACAAGCACAGAACTCTGCTTGTTTAGGTCTTAGCTCTCCGATTTAACTCTATGTCTCCAAGGAGAAAAGTGTATTGTATTTGCAACCAAAAACCATTAGGTTAAATCATGTGAAATTGTCTCTATTTAGTCATATTTTACCAAAAACAAAACAAACTCCCAAATCCAGTGATTTCATATGATCCAACTTAATACCTAGCCTTATGAGTTGCGTAAGGTTAAGTCTACCCACATAAGGAGCTAATTAAAGGAGCTGGCTATACAATTTTATTCATTAGATAGCATGGTACTTAAGATCTGAGAGCTTTGAAAAGGTCCGAGAACCCTAAAAGAAGAAGAAGGAGAAGGAAGGAGAAAAGAAGGGCTCAAAGTACAAGGGGAAAAAAGCAAAATCAAAATTAATAAATATTTAATTATATGTCAACAACATTATCATGTCAATTCGCTCATTGTTTTTTTATTAATAAAATTTTCACACCTTTATAAATAAATTTAAGTTAGTTTTCCTCACTTCACAGAAATTCTCAAGAATGTACATGATTGCTGAGAAATCACAATACAAATAATTTCAAAAGCGAAATTTAAAAACTAATTTTCAAGGTTTTTTTTCCAGCAAAGGAAAATGTTGTTTGATATGAGATGTATTTTAATGTAAGGTAGGACACAGAGATAGTTCTCTAATAATAAAAGTGCCAGGCCCTTTAGGGTATAAAATAGCATTGGTGCTCAAGAAAATACCTATTTCCTGCCCCCCAGAAACCTAAGTGAATCAGAAAGAATTAGGATGTTAAATACATACAAATACTGAACTCTAGTGTGTTCTTAGACAATCCACTGTTGAGAGAGTTCCTGATGTAGAGCATCTGGATTAAGGTAGAGTTACCATAGTAACTACTGGGAATTCCTTGCATCCTTGTGAATTACAAATTGTCAAACAAGAAAATTGCTGAGCCTCGACCAGACTCCTGAGGGTCAGCTTAATGATTTATCAGAGTCCCTTTCCTGTAAATGGGGGAAAGATTGTAGGTTCACTGTTGACAGTGAGACTCCAACTTCCTCCAAAGGTGGCATATCTGGTAGAGCATTTCCAGCAGGGTGCAACACTGAGACACCAGAAACTGCCCGGCAAGAATCAGCATAGAGGAAGAATCACCAGAAACTGGGGGAGATGAGGACCTCCTGGAGGCTAAGGCTTACATGGCTCATCCGGGATTGAGGTTTCCTGAGAAGGGAAGTCCTAGCTTGGTCTGGCCAGACTGAGTGCCGTATTACCCACACATGCTCTCTGACAGGGCACACCACAAATTCAAAGAGCAAGGGATGTGTGAGGGAAACAGTCCTCTAATGCTCAGGCCGTACATTCAGATCATTATAATGAGCTCCAGCCATTATCAAAGGACCTGGGAAAGCTGGATGGGCATTCATGTTTCCTCGGCCTTAATAAGAAAAAAACCTTCAGAGAATTGCTACATTTTTA